AGTCTACCTCAAGGACTTTGTGTGCTAGGGGCTTCTGAACTTAGGCGGGAGGTGTGTTGTGTACTGACAAAGTCTTCCTGCAACTTGGGGCTGCCAGAAAGAAGGTGAGCTTGGGGGGAAATACAATAGACAAGCAAGATCTGGTAGCCACCTATCAAGATGCAATTAGTGTGTAAATAGCCTATTGTTGGGAGTGGGTGAGCTAAATCACTGAATAAACTCACATGTCAAACCCAGTATATTGCATCCTGGCCCTGGTATTCTTGGAGATCACCCTTCCAAGTATTTGCCAGAATCTTTCCTGCTTAGCTTCTGAGATCTGACAAGATCAGGCTTGCCTGGGCTATCCAGGTCAGAGCAAAACCACTGTGGCTTTATAGTGTAGATTCTGGTGGGGTAGCCATGTTGGTCTGAAGTAGCAGAACAAAGTTTGAGTCTAGTGGGGCACCTTTAAGACCAACAAAGTTTTATTCATGGGCTTTCATGTGCAAGCACACTTCTTCAGTGATTGCATCTTTAATTTCGTTGTACTATGTACAATGACAATAAAGTATATTATTATTATTATTATTATTAGCTGTGCCTAGGAAGAAGAAGAAGAAGAAGAAAAAAGATTGGATTTATACCCCGCCCTTCACTTGGAGTCTCAGAGTGGCTTACAAACTCCTTTCCCTTCCCCTCCCCACAACAGACATGGTGTACTATAATAAATACCCATAGTTTATCAATTTGCAGGTAGTGTGGGAGAGTATGTGCCAAATACATAATCAGCCATGTGATGCTGTGACACCAACTCTGAAACTTTTTCAGCGGATTAGATAGATACCTGTTAGTGTGAGGCTACTGGCAAGGTACTGCATAAGGTTCAGCCTTGACTCTCCAAGACAGCACATTGATAGGCTCAGCTACCAGATCTCTGGAGATTTAGACATGAGGGATATATAGAGAATGCCTTGCTTCCAGACGGCCCTGACATGTATCTGTGTGGCTGTTGCCAGTAGCCAGAATGCTGAACTGGGTTGGCACCTGGACTTTAACCGAGCATATGTCATGTGGGTGTTAAAATGCTAATTCTAGAGCCATGCCATAGCCCTTGCAATGTCATTAACACTTCTTTCAGAGCAAGAGCAGTGACTGAGGCTGCCTTTTCTCAAAAGAAAAGCATTTTTTTTGGCAGGGCAGGGGGTGAGGGGAAGATGACTAGCACAGACTTGCAAATAGGCAGCCACTTCTAATAAATCTGGCTGAATGCTTTCGAGTTTGGTAGTGGATCGATAGGCAAGGAGACAAAACCAACCGGGATCGTTGATCTGTGTTTTCGCAAAAACTGTTCCTTCTGCCCCATCCATTCCTGCAGATCAATCTGCAAACTTAAGAATGAACCTTGTGGGATAGGCATTTGATGCAGGAAAGACCGGATCTACGTTAAAAATTAGTGCAGTAGATCTGTACTAGCATTATTGCCTGAAGCCAAAATTCATAAACTGGGGAGGATCTTATGGAAAAGAACTGGGTGATAAAGACCTTCCTCTCTGTTCTTGCTTCATTGCACTGGCCAACATTGTCTCGGGGCTGAGAGACAGAGGTGTCCCTTTGGGTACAGCCTGCATGAGGGGGAAGAACCCATTATAGCAGAGGTGTCAAAGGAGACCCCGTGATACTACGAAGCCAATAAGCAAGCTCTACCAAGCGCAGGCCAAAACCCAGCTGTTAGATTCCCAGCGGGAAGAGCAGGGGAGAAGCGCTCCCAGCCTCAAGGACACCTTCCCAGTAACCAGTAACCACGGAAGGCAAAGGGAGGGAGGGAGGGGAACACTTACATATTCCAAGCTATGGCAGCATTAGCTGACAATACCCTGGTTCCCAAATCTGAGCTAATTCAGGTCTTTGTAGTGCATGTAATAAGAAGAGAGTTGCCTGCTTTTCCCCCCAAGCGACTTTATGGTAGTGGCTTCTGCTGCCTTTACTTAGGATGTCCCTTTCTTATCACTGAAGTAGCTGTTCTGCTTTGGGGGTTGGGGGGGGGTTTGTATACGCACATGCACACATGGAGAGGAGCTGATATTTATTCAGAAAGCAAAAGTGAATTGACATGCAAGATTGGACTTCAGGAGCACATTTTTGAAAGGCACAATTTGACTGCAATTGCTTTGACATTTCACTGATCCAAAGCTGGATTATTATAGAGCATAACTTGCTATCTGAGAGACTCGGCCTTCCACATTAGCGAATGCCCCTAGAAAAACCCACCGAGGCCTCCCTCACTGTCTCTGCCTCTCCTAAACGCATCTAGTTGAAACCACCTTGCTGTTTTCGGTGGAGCTGTTTCCCAACGCAAGCATGGTTAAAATGGCTGCCAGTAATTTATCCACCTCTTATAAAACATGGAGGGAGTGGGCGTTGGACATTGCTGAGAAGCATGGCAGTTGTAGGCCCCGTCTCTCTTCTTCTCTCCCCTGCCCCTTTGTATCCTTGTTTTCATCCGTTGGCTTTTGATCAGTTATAGCCAGCCTCAGTCCTCCAGCTGTGAAAACAGGAAAAACTCTCGCCTTCACAGGGCTGTTGCACAAAGAAATTGGATGAAGGCTTTCACATTTAAAAAAAGGCTACATAAATAATAATAAGTGGTACTAAGGGCCATTTCAATCCGCACCTGGCTGTGATGTGGAGACTGTAGGCCTGGGAGCAAATTGTGAGCATGTATTTTCTCCCCTCTTCAGGAAGGAATGCTGAATGGGAATGAAAGTCTGTGTGCACAGATCCCTGCCTGAGAGATCCATCCATTGTGTAGTGGTTAGAGTGCTGGATTAGGATCCGGGAGACCCAGGTTCGAATCCAGGGGTTGTTTCGTAGAAAAAGAGCTAGGGGAACTCATTCGCATAACTCATGAGCATATGCCACACCCCCTGACATTACCGGAAGTGTGTCATAAGGCCACAACCCCGGACATCACCGGAAGTGTGTCATAAGACCACACACCCCACCCTCAACGGTCCCGGCCGCCGGTGCCGGCCTTGCAGCTCCACTGCCAAGCCCCATGAGGGGCCCGGCGGGGGACCTGCAAGGCCAGCAACTTACCCTCCCTCTTCTCCTGCCTCCTCCTGGTTGAATGAGGGCCGGAAGCAGGGCAGCCGGAAGCAGGGGGCGGGGCTTCATCATGTGCCCCCCCCGTACCTCACCTGGGGGAACTGCGATCCCCCGCGATCCCCCCCGAAATGACCTCTGTTCGAATCCCTTCTCCGCTTTGTCTGCCATGGAATCTTACTTGGTGGCCTCTTGAGCCAGTCACAGACTCTCAGCCTAACCTACCCCACAGGGGATAAAGAAGAATGACGTAAGCCACTTTGGGTCCCCACTGGGGAGAAAGTTAGGAGGTAAATGAAGTATATTATAAATGCTCAGTGAAGAATGTACTCACATAGGTTCCAATTTGCACAAATCTGAGGGTCACTCCTGCAGCCGCTGCACATATAACAACCCTCTTATTGGGGCCCTGTGTGAATTATTTATTGACTTACTTTATTTATAGCCCGTCTTTCTCATTGAGACACAGTGAGATTACATAGTGTAAAGCAGGGGTGTCAAACTCATTTGTCATGAGGGCCGGTTCTGACATAAATGAGACTTTGTTGGGCTGGGCCATGTGTGTCATAAAATGTAATGCCAGGTAGCAGAGATATAAACTTTATAAAGGACACAAACACATAAGGCTTTTTTTTAACTTAAAATAAAAACATGCTTAAAAGCAGGGGTCATTTCGTAGAAAAAGAGGTGCATGAGCTCATTAACATAACTCATTAGCATAATATTTGCATATGTCACACCTCCTGACATCACCGGAAGCATGTCAGAAGGCAACACCCACTGCTCAGGCTCCACTGGACTGTTTTGGATTGCTAGCTATTGGGGGGGGAGAAGTGCAGATCTGTCCTCGCAGAGGAGGGAGAGCTTGTACCTGAATAAAACTTTGTCTTAAAGGTGCCAGTGGACTGTTTTGGGCCGGGGGGCCGGGGGGGCTCTGCCGCTTACCTGGCTGCTTCTTGCTCTGACTGAGGGCTGCTTGGAGCAGGGGGTAGGGCTTGTTGCATGTGCGCGCCCCCTGGGCTCTTTACTGCCGGAGCTGCGCTCCTGCAGGAAATGACCCCTGCTTAAAACATTAGCACTCTTGCAATATTTTGTTTATTTAACAGTGTCTGATAACTGATACCTCTTGCTCTGAATTATTGCATCAAAATGTCTGTGCTGTTGCAATCTTGAGTATGCTGTTCAGGTGTGTATCTGTAAGCTGCAAACCTACAATGATGCAGCAGCAGCAGAACTGGAAGAAGAAGCAGAAGACAGCCAGTTCCACTGTGAGCCTGATAGAAGCCCTCTGGGGGCCTGACCTGGCCTCCGAGCTGCATGTTTGACACCCCTGGTATAAAGTAATGCCATCCAGTAGTCCAAGGCATACCATAAGCAACTCAGTATGACTAGGATTACAAATTAGAAACAATGCTAAAGAAGAAAATGGAATTACAAAAGTAGAAAGCAGTGTAGTAAGAGCCAAATAATACATATATACCACAGATAGTGTGGCATAAACTACAGTGCACCAACTCTAAAAGCAAAACTGGGCAATACAGAACTGGGCAAGCAGAACACCCCTATCTCCTTCTGTCTTGGTTTCCTTTCAAATGTATGGTGTAACATTGTCATTTGAAAGCTTCTCTACCCCTGCAAGGTGGAGACAGCAGTGTAGGGGTCTGGAAGAAGAGGAATTCTCAACTCTGCAGTATCACGCAATGAATGGTTGCTAGACTTTATTTGAGGAGAGGGCAGGAGGAAAAACAGGGCTTCTGGGTTTGGGCAGCAGATGTGCGTCCTCCATATCATTCAGTTCTGCTTTACAATTTTGTAAGTGTGAAAAAAAAGTTCCTTAGTACCACTCTCCTGTAGCATGTTCTTACCTTTTTATTCAATACACAGTCTGGAACCAAATCCTTTTTTGTTCTCTGCAGAATGGTGAAGCTTCCTTGTTCGAAGTGAACATCCGCTACATTGGAGGGTTGCTAGCTGCATTCTACTTAACTGGCGAAGAGGTTTGTTCCAGCACATTTTGCACACAGGGTATATTTCTGCATAAGAAAGCCAATCTCCCCAGAGAGCCCTGCCAACCAAGCTCTTCAAAATGATCCCCCCTGACTCAACAAGCTGAAAACTAATTTTTTGTTATGAATATTGAAATGTTGATGATGGCTGTTAATTAAGTCTTGCATAATTACCTTGCCTGGCTCATCATTTTATAAAGATATTTTCTCCCATGGACAATTTCTCCTAGATAGCTTTTCAGTTTGGTACATTGATCCCTTGCTGTGAAATACAGTTGCTGTGATCTTGGCCTTGCATTCAGAACTTGTTAATTTCTTGATGCTGGAAAGAGGAACTTTCATAGGCCCCTCAGGGTCACATAAATGCCGCGGTGGGATAACCATCGCTTTTAGCAACGGCTGTTCTCAGCCGTATTGCCAAAAAGTGAAGAACCGTCATGAGCATTAATACAGCATGACAAGGCCCCTCAACCCCAGTTTTCTGCACTCCAAAAGGTCTTCCACCATCCTAGGCAGAAGGGCAGTGCCCTCCTGTGTAACCCTGGGGGCAAATAAACAACACCACTCTGTACAAAGGTGGGGGAAGGGGGGGCTTAAAGAGCTGCGTTTTTTAGGAGGAAGATACATATCCTCGGAGTTGTAGTTAGGAGGCAGAAGTGCATTCTGTCTGGTTGACTCAAACACTCTGGCAGGAGCCAGCATGCTTTAGTGACTCAAACACTCTGGCAGGAGCCAGCATGTTTTAGTGTGGTGCGCTTTAAACTTTCTATCCTCAGAGAATCCCTTCCATGTTTGTTCACTAATGAACCACTCCCTGCACATCACAGACCGTTCTGCTGCACTCTCCACAGAATACTCTCAATCAGGGCTATTTTTGGGCAGGAACGCACAGTAACGGAGTTCCGGCTGGCTCCCGAGTTGGCCACACCCAGCAGGAGCTCATTAGCATAATAGGCCACACCCAACAGCAGGAACTCATTAGGATTGGCTACATTAGGGGTGTGTGGCCTAACATGCAAAGGAGTTCCTGCTATAAAAAAGCCCTGGGTTTTGACAACAAACAAGGTAAACAGAATAAGAAGCAAAAGGTGGGTGTGGCTGGATGAGCACACCTCTGGTGACATGGGGGTGTGGCCTAATAATGTGGGTGGGAAGCGAGTGCTGTCAGGGGTGGGTCCTAATAAGCAAATAAATTTCTGTTGTTGGGTGTGGCCTATTATGCTAATGAGTTCCTGCTGGGCTTTTTCTACAAAAAAAGCCCTGCTCTCAATTGATCCAGGGTGCTAGTCATGGGATGTTTGGGTCTATTGTCACTTCACTGAAAGCCAGTGTGATACAATGGTAAATTCTTCTTTACTCAACAAGTGAATAAAATGAGGGATTCTCTGCCAGAAGATGTAGTGATGGCCACAGGCATAGATGGCTTTAAAGGGGGATTAAACAGGTCCATGGAAGATGGCTCTCTCAGTGGATGCAAGCCATGGTGACTAAAAGGAACCTCCTATTCCAGAGGCCGTAAACCTCTGAGCGCCATTCACCGGGGGCAGCATCAGGGGAAAGCCTCAGCCTCTGTGCCCTGTTGTTGGACTTCCAGAGTAACTGGTCAGCTACTGTGTGAGACAGCATGCTGGACTGGTTAGACCACTGATTTGATCCAGTAGGGCCCTTCTGATGTTCTTATGTTCTTACATTGAAAGTAAGAGGGGCCAATGGCAACCAAGCTGTATTTCAGCCAGGGTGACTGCCTCTCCCCCAAAAGCTCTTCTTCCTACTAAACTGTTGAGAAATCCTGTTTGAAAACCACTGTCTGCAGTGTGGAGTTGCCCTGAATAGGCTTCAGACCTATGTCCAGTCATGGATTCAGTGGAGTTTCAAGTTTGAGCTTTGGCGGTGAGTAGAAACTCTGAGACTAAATGGCAGGTTGGATCCAAACAACTTTTTGTGTATGTTATTTATAGCCCACATTTCTCACTGAGATGCAAGTTGAATTACACAGTGCAAATCAATGTAGTCAATAGGATGAGATGTCTAATAAGCAATGTAATAGGACTAGGATTGCAGAAGTCTGCATAAGCATTAGACATTACATGGTTAAACAATGCAGAAAATGGTATGATATAAGTAGAAAACAATGTGAGAGCAAAATAATACATACAACAAACAGATAATGCATGCTATATGCAGTGGGATAGTCTACAGTCTCATTCCCTTTATTAAAGCGCATCCCTGAACCATTCTGTTATAGCCCTATTCCTTTTATTTAAAAGTCCTCTGGAACATTAACTCAATCCATACAACAGCCCTACAAAGCAAAACCCGGGATGGTTACTGCATTGCATGGGAGTGCTGGTGAAAAAAGGAGGAGAGGTCCCCTCTGCCCACCAAAAAAAGGCTATGGAGTTTGTGTGACCTGAATACACATAAGCCATGTGGCTCAGGGGCTGTTAGAAAGAGGGGGGATGAGACTGAGTGAAGGGGGGGGCCTGGCTGGATCCAGCCCCCTGAGTCAAATTAAACCTTGCACCTTATTAAGGGGATGAAAGAGAAAAAATATCCTTACAATCTTTTCTTACAAACGTCTTCTCCACCTGTTGGGATGGGCATTTGAGTTCTACCCAGAGGGTAGTCCCTGAACAGCCATCTTCCTTCTACTCCAGGGATACCCCTTCAGTGGCTCAGGAGTCACAGGTGACTGTTTCACATACCACGTTTGGATGTCCTGAGCCCTCTTCCAATAAGGCAGCCATCCAGCCATCCCATGTTTCAGGAAAGTAGGCAAAGGCCTTGCTTGGTGGTATTTGTGACTGGCACCTGGTTTCTGCCTTGACACAGCTACCACCAGAGGGCCAGGTAAGCGGCTTTCCTCCCTGAGTCGTGGACCTCACTCCAGGGATAAAGTAGATGTGTCTTATTTGGTTGATGCCAATTGTGAATGCATGTCTCCACGAGTCACTGAGTGAGTACCACTATTCTACTCTGTACAGAGCAGCAGTGCATTCTTTATTGCCCCAAGATGCCCTCTGGGAAAAGCAAAATCAAAGCCCCATCATCTCCCATAGCAAGAATATTGTCTTTGGCCTGTCCCTCTTGTTAGACAGGGTAAGGAGCAGGCTTTGGAGTACAATCAAAGAGTAGCAAATCATGAGTTGCTTAGTTTATTTTTTTTTTTCATGTTATGGCCTGTCATTTTGGATTTACTGCTTTGGGTTGTGACTGGTCGTATGAGTAGAGTTGTCTGGTTGGTTCACATAGCTAAATTATATATGAACAATAGAGACCTGTATCCATATATACGGGTGCAGGGAGCTTTGTGGCATCTTAAAAAGCAACAGATTTATTATAGCATTAGTGTTTATGGACTAGAGCCTACTGCCTCAGGCACATGAAGTATTTTGTAAGGGGGTAAATATATGCGCACTCACGCACATGGATATGCAGGGGAAAATGTGAATAGTGGGACCATGTACTGCTAGAGATACCATCTGTAATGCTTCCATGCAAAACTCTATACAACAGTAATTGGCAATAACACAGGCTTCCTAGCTGTGCTAAGCTAACGGAATACCTTTTGTGGGTGAGAAAAGCTTGGTCTTTATGAACACAGTCAAACTTTCTGATCCATTATAAAGCCCACACCCACATGAGAATGCTTGCGCTCTCTCACTTTCACACCAACTCACAAGTGTACATTCTCTCTCCCTTTCTGGTCTTTCTTTCACTTTGCCTTACCCATACACAAAGCTGTTAATGGCAAGATTTCTTGACTGTGAAGATGGGTACCCACCAAGGGTATAATTAAAAGATGGGGCCCTTTCCAAAATCTAAAGGGTAAAAAACCTGTTAGCATTCAGGGGTGTTGCCACCTGTCCTGTCCTTCCCGTTAAGTGCACACACTCTTTGACTCGCACCTTAATATATATATATATTTGCATCCCGTTCCAAAGGGAAATGCTGCCACATATTCCAGCCATGAGGCACTGGACCTTGTCAGGTGACCCAGGATCCCTGGTCTGATTTGGAGGACAGAAAACACCTCCCAAAATGCAATTTAATTGAAAAAGCTGGAGGGTGTGTTTTGTGCCTGGGGGGGGATATGGTCTGAGTCAGAGAAATCCAGCTTTAGTGACGGCACTGCTCCCCCCCCCGTGCCAGCCTCCAAAGGTATGACACACCAAAGATGTCTCCTCCTTAAGAGTAAATGTCATCTGCTTTCTAAAGGTGATGGCAGCCTCTAGTCCAACAAAGATTAATATCCGCTACCAAAATGAATTTTGCTGAGCGATAAAATTCCACTGCAGTACAGTTCTGCCTTATTCTCCAGTGTGTTCCCAAGTACTGGCAGGGACTGAACGTATCACATATTTGTGCTGGTAGGTGTAGAGAGATCAAAGAGATTGCACAAAAGGCCCAGGACAGAGAGAAAAGCAAATGGCAGGCTGTTCTCCCACTGACCCAGGTGGGAATCTTCCATCCTGGAAATGAGAGCGCAGCATCAAACCAATTCCCAAAAAAGAAGAGTTTTATGCAAAAGTGTTATAGCAGCTTGACTTCATTTTTAGAGAAACCTGTTGGATTTGGAACTGCGAAGGCATTCCTTCCCTTTTTTGCAAGAGAGAAGTAGCTTTTTCCTCATAGGCTTGTTCTCTCAGCTTGTTCAGAGTTAAAATTATTGAACAAAATTTAGTGTTCACTTGACACAGACAACATCAAACATGGCAGGGAATTAAAGGATTCTAAGAGCTGAAGGAAGGAAAAATATGTATGCAAAAGAGTTTATGTTTGAAATCTTGGGTTTCCATAAAAAAAGGGGGGGAAGAATGTGATACAGTCTTTAGGCTAGGCTTGCCAAGTCCCCCCGGGGGGGCGGGGAACCCCCCGCCCCCAAGCCCCAACGGGCACGCTGGGGGCAGGGCCACAGTCATCCAAGGGAAAACTCTATGGTTTTCCCTCGGATGGTCGTGGCCCCGCCCCCAGCATGCCCGGCGTCGTCA